ATTCAGGAATACAAAATCTATCACCTGACATACTAAGAGAAAATCACTACGCTCATGCTACAGTGCTGAAATGGCACTTGGACAACATCAGCAACAGCCCCCTTACAAAAGAACTGGCATGGTGCTTAATGGATAAAAACTCAAAGTCTTGTCAATAAAGTCATAAAGCATTGTCAATAAAGTCATGAATCAGTCAAGGGCATCCAGTATCATCCATATTACTGAACTTTTTGTCTGGAAATACCATGCAATCAGAAAATAACAAGTGACATAAAAATTAGAAGGGGCAAAATTACTATTTGTAGTTGCTATGACAGTATACCTGGAATCCGTCCCCCCCAAATCAACTGTTAAAACCATGAGTAGAAAGATACATTAATAGTTGTAAATTTATACAATCAAATACACAATATTTTTCTATAACAATAAAAAGATAAATAACTAGAATAGAAACATATAGGATGTGCTGACCAGATGGCTCCCTGGGTGAAGGTAGTTGCTGAAGAAGCCTGGCAATCTGAGCTTGATTCTCAGAACCCACACAAACGTGGAAGGAGAAAACCGACTCTGCAAGACTGCTCTCTGACCTCCATACACACCCACAAACAAAATCACACATACACAAAATACTAATAAATAAGTAAAAATTTTAAAAATACATGGGATTTTTCTAGAGATACAGGGTAGGGAGCAAAGAAAAAGAAACCCATAAAAAAGACTTTTATTTTTTTTTTAAAAGCAGGGTCTCCCTGTGGCCCCAGCTGTCCTGGAACTCACTATGTAGACCAGGCTGGCCTTGAACTCACAGAGATCCGCCTGCCTCTGCCTCCCAAGTGCAGGGACTACACCACGTGGGCTGCGCCACCACATCCAGCTTAAAAAAAGACTTTTAAACAAAGTAACATCCAGGCGGACTCCCCCTTAATCAAAAGGGGAAGTGCCAATTCAGTTCAGAAGCTAGGTTATATAGACAGAAAGATATATTAAAGTACTTGATGTTCAATTATATTTTAAAAGTACTTATGAATAAAATTTGCTTTAAAATAATCTAGTCCCCACCCTGCAAAAAATGGAGAGGAGGTGAGATGGTTCATGATTGTCTAAGCAGTGAAAACTTGGAACTAGGCGATGCATACATGGAGGAACATTATATGGTTTTCTCCTCTTTATATATTTGAAAGTTTCCACAATAGTTTAAAAAATGTGCAGGACCCACATGGCGGCTACAAACCGTCCTTAACCCCAGTTCCAGGGAAATCCAAAGTCCTCTTCTGCAGCATTGCATGACATGGGTGCACTCACATACATGCAGACAATACACTCATAATACATAAAATAAAAATAATAAATTTTTTTTAATGTGCAGCAAGATCCAAAGAAGAGCCATTAAAATTAATAATTTGGGGCTGGAGAGATGGCTCAGTGCTTAAGAGCCCTGGGTGCTCTTAAAGAGGACCTGGGTTCAATTCCCAGAACCACACAGTGGTTGACAACAGTCTGTAACTTGACACCTTCTTCTGAACTCCTCGGGCATAGCATGGCACAGATGCACTTACATACATACAGGCAATACACTCGTACACTGAAAAATAATATATTTTTTTTAAAGTTAGTAATTTCAGAAGTATATAAAAGGCTTTACTTCGTAGACCAGGCTGGCCTTCACCAGTCAAGGACTTTCTTTTCTCCCTACAGATAAGAGTTATGCAATTTGGGAGTCTTTTAGATAGACCCACTGAAGGGGTACCCAATTGCCTCACCCTGCATCCCTGTTCAGCATGGAAGAAGCCAGAGCAGTCTGCGTCCCAATTCCCTATCCGCAAGTTGGAGAACCTCTTCAGAGGATGGTGTGATAAGGATAGGAAGTAGGAATTGGCTAGGCAGTTAGGGTAAAAAGACCTCAAAGAAAGGTAGCCAGTTTCTTGGCTAAAAGTCAAAATATCCTTGGGCCTCTTAGCAACATACTCCATTCCAAAGGTCAAAAATGACAAAAGTATTTGGGAGCTCTTATCTAATCCTTAAAAGATTTTAGGGTTACCTCTTGGGGGGGAATGTTAAGAGTAGCAAAAGCCCCATTAAGAAGAGGCAGAGGCAGGCGGATCTCTGTGAGTTCAAAGCCAGCCTGGTCTACACAGTGAGTTCCAGGACAGCTGGAGCTACAAGGAGACCCTGTCTCAAAAAGACCAAAAGAAAAAAAAAAAAAGGAAGAAGAAACAGTACATGAAGTTATCAGAAAAAAGTCGTGATGGGGTAAAAATGATGGGGAGGTAAAAATGATGGGGAGGTAAAAATGATGGGGAAGTAAAAATGATGGGGAGGTACGGGAGGAGTTGGAGGGGAGGAAGTGGGCATGGATCTGATCAAAACACCTTATATGCATGTATGTAATTCTCAATAAATTATTTTAAGTATATAAAAGGCTTACACAAATGCGAAAATGCTACCTAATGAGGAAATAATACACTATAAGGTTACAAATCAGACACCATTTGTTTTTTTCTTTCATCAGAGATCAAAATGTGGTAACACACATAGTACTGGGGGGGGCAGGCAATTTACATTGATAGTGGAAGTCAAAATCAGTACTAATTCTTCACAGCATAACATGGCTTTTACCTCTCAATTATAAACACCTCTTGGTCCATCAATTTCACCTCTAGGAATTTTTTTCTACGTTTATTCATTCATTCAACAAATTCTTTTTGCCACTTACCCTCAGGCAGGCTGAGTGATGCAATAGTGCAGAAACAACCTGCACTTCCATTCTTCCTGGGGGAGCAGCCACAGTAAAGCAAGTCAAGGAGTATGCATGCAATTACAAAATTACAGTGGAAATAAGTGATCTGGTTAGCAGGAAAGGAAGCTGTGAGCTAATGTCCCAGTCCCACCTTCCTTCTGTGATGCTTTATTCCCCTAAAGCCTCTGTTCACTCAGTGTGGGCACCACTCGAATGCTTCCCTTTGTCCCTCAAAATTAATCGGGTCCTTTTCATACAAGGAAGGTGTCAGAGCGGCACTTTTGCCTCAACCATTATTGTGTATAACAATTTAGTTTTTTTTTTAATGTGGATTTTCCCAACTTATCTGAGTTTTATGGGACATAACAGTGTAGTATAGCTTTTAATGGATCAGGTATGGTGGCACACACCCTAATCCCAGCAGAGGCAGAGGCAGGCAGATTTCTGAGATCCAGGCCACCCTGGTGTACATGGTGAGTACCAGGCCTGCTGGGGCTACAGGGAGACCCTGTCTCAAAAAGACAAAAAAAAAAAAAAAAAGTTTTTCATGGGAGGAAGGTGTCAGAGCGGCACTTTTGCCTCAACCATTATTGTGTATAACAATTTAGTTTTTTTTTTAATGTGGATTTTCCCAACTTATCTGAGTTTTATGGGACATAACAGTGTAGTATAGCTTTTAATGGATCAGGTATGGTGGCACACACCCTAATCCCAGCAGAGGCAGAGGCAGGCAGATTTCTGAGATCCAGGCCACCCTGGTGTACATGGTGAGTACCAGGCCTGCTGGGGCTACAGGGAGACCCTGTCTTCAAAAAAAAAAAAAAAAAAAAAAAAAAGTTTTTAATGGGAGCAAACCTTTCCTAAGAGAAAGCAAAGACACTACATCAGTTTTAGAAAAGATTAATCACCTGCTACTTAATTTCAAATTAAAGTGTAATTATTTATTCTGAATGCATGTATGTGTCACTGGGCTCATGTGGCGGTCAGAGGACAACTTGCAGCAAGTCGTTCTCTCCTTCCACCATATGGGTCTCAAGGATCCAACTCAGTTCATCAGAAATTGTGGCAAGCGTCTTCCTATCTTGATCACCCACCTGCTAGTTAATTTTACCCACATACAAAACTCAAATGGTCAGTTCCGTATTGAGACTCGACAGTGATTTTTAGTTTGTGTTCATGATCTTTTAAGCACTGAGCTTTAAGTTCTGATTTGCTATTTGGGTAAATGTTTTACAATGAAGTGCCTGGCAAACAACTGACATTAAAAAAAAAAAAAATGCTGCTAAAATGCCTGTCCTGGGAACATTACAAACTAACTTCACCAATCATGAACTATGAAGAACTATCATGAACTTCAAAACTGCCAAGAATGATATTCTACAAACTGTCAGATTAAGAAATCAGTATGGAGGGAAAGAAATCTATCCCTATGAAATATGCACTTATTTCAGTTTTGAAATCAGCTTTACATAACCGCATTCTTCTCCATCCCCAGGGGAGGACACAAAACACACTAACCAAACAATCCACCCACCCCATAGGGCTTCTCAAGACCTTACAAAGCTATTCCCAGAGATAGATTTTCAAGTGCTTGGGGCCATCTGCATTGCCAACCACCAGCTCCCTTCACCAGCTGAGAATGCGATGCACCCATCCTTTCCCTAGGACGCTGCACATCGTTTAATCTTGGCCGAAGGGTCCAGAAATTCTGAGCGGCGAATTAATTACCAGCGGGAGAGACCAAGTGCAGGTAAATTTCCAGAGAGAGGGGCGCTGGTACTGCACTCAGTTTGGGGTCAAGGCAAAGCAGGCCGGGTGGTCAACAGCACTGGCAGGGTCTGGCCCACTTTTGCTTGGTCCTCCTCTAATGTGCGGGCATCCAAGGGCCTTTCTAACTCTCCCAGAGACTCAGGGCTGGTCGGGACTCCCAGGCCCTCTGACCTGTCGCTAAAGGGTTCTCTTCCAGCTAACCTAGAAGGGTGCTGACCCCAGGGTGCGAGGACGGCGGATGAGAAGCGCGTAGGGCAGGGGGACGCCAGGAGGGTGGGAGGAGCGCTCGGGAGGCAGATCCTGCGGGGGGTGGGGGGCGCGGGGAGGATGGGGTAGGACGGTCCCTACGGCCCAGGCAACGGAAAGGGGGCTGGAGAGGAGTCGAGGAGGACGCAGGGCAGATGGGACCACGAGACGAACCGGACACGAAGGAGAGGACCTGGGCTACCTGCTAGCCAGGTGAGGGGCCCGCGCGCCCCTCGCCGCTTCTCACCTGCCCAGCGCCCGCTTCATGGCCGCGTCGCCTGCGCAGCGCGGCTCCGCCGGCCCCTTGCCCGCCAGGCGCAGGTTCTGCTTCAAGCGGCAGTCGGCGTCCAGCGCCGTAGCTGCTGAGCCGGAGGAGGACAAGCCGGAGGCGGCGCAGCGCTCATGCTCCAAGGTGACTGGTTCGGTCCGCTTCCTCATCCCGTGGCCCTGCCGACCGGCAGCCCTCTGCGCCCCGGCCTCGCCCGCCCGCGCCGCTCTCACCGCAGTCTCCGCCGCACACAGCCGTCACCGCCGGGAGCTGGGAGCCCACTGCCGGTCACATCCCAGCCCCAGGCCGCGGAGCGGGATGCGGACCAGCGCTGGGGCCGGTCGGCCACCGTGGCCAATCAGCGCAGAGCTCCCGACAGCCCCGCCCCGGCCACGCCCCTCGCTCCTCCTCCAGGGGTCCGCGGGTAGCTGGCCCGGCATCCCAGCGCCTTGCCGGCAGCCATCTTGGAAAAGGGCGGGAGAAGCTGCAGCCTGGGTTCGTTGGTAGGGCAGGATCTGGCTGAGCGTTCTTCCCGCACCGCCGACTGGGCTCCGCCAAGGGTGGCGGGCCACAGTAGTCTAGCTTCCTGCGTCGCAGCGGACTAGCTCAGACATCCCACGTCAGTGGGCCGAAGGGTGAGGACACAGGGAACGCGACAGCCAGAGGGGTTCCTCAGGGAGCTAGCTTTCTGCGCAGGGCAAGCTCCGCTCCCTCCCTCCGCAGGGCCTGTGGCCCCCTTACACCGGAGAACCCCGAAAGTTGTTCCTTAAGCTTTGCTCTCACAGAAAGTTTTACCTTAAAAAATAGGCGCTCACACACATGCAGGCAACACACTCAAACATGTAAAATAAAAATAATTAAAAAAAATTTTTAAATAGGCCCTCAGGTAGCCAATGTATCATTGGAAACAAGTTTTACATTTACGTTTTGCTCTTTGGCTGAATGAATATGAAAAATATGAACTGCCCAAGTACGTTTTGAAACCTTGTATTAGAATTTAGATTTTTAGAAAACAGAACTTGCAGAGGCCAGGAAGTCTATTTCAGAGATGCATTTGCGAAAACCCAAATTAAATAATAATTCGACCTATCCTTTAAAGAGTAAAGGAAATAATCAAACACCAACCTCCAAAGTTGCTTTTGTGATTTCAACATTTGTGCCAATTTGAAGACTGTTGGCAAGTGATAACGATCAAATCAAAATGCTTTTAGACTTATGGTAGCTTTGTAAGGATCTTTAGAAGTTGCAAGATCATTTCTTTGACCACATTGATATATCACAACCTTCATTCATGCTGTGTATCTATAGTCATTTTTAAAAACAGTACTGTAGGGACTGGAGAAATGGCTCAGTGGTTAAGAGCACTAACTGTTCTTGCAGAGGACCTGGGTTCGAGTCCCAGCACCCACATGGCAGCTAACAACCATCGATAACTCCAGTTCCAGGGGAATCCGATGATTCCCTCTTCTGGCCATTGCACTACATGGGTGCACTTACATATATGCAGGCAATATACTCATACACATAAAAATAAAATTAAAAACAACACTGTAGGTTTAGGGATTCAAAAAGCAACTAAATGTTTAAAAAATAGTTTTGACCTATCAGAGAAAAACAAAAAATACCAGCTGGATCTGATGGTGCATGCCTAAGGCTGTGAGAGGTTGTAGGTAGCAGGATTGCAAGTTCAAGGCCAACCTGGGCAACTTAGTGAGACCCTACCTCAAAATAAAAGGATTTGAGATATAGCTCAATGGTAACACTTCCTTAATATGCCTGATGCTCAGGGTTCCATTACCCCACCCCCCCCTCAACAAAGAGGGAGAGGGAGCTGGATGGAGGGAAAGAGGGAGAAACACTAGATCTGGCCCAAATAATCCTCATCTCTTAGTCTCCTGGGTTTTAAATACACTTCCCACACTAGGGAAACCCATATTCATATCTGTAGGTCACACTGTTCCTGGAACACAGGCACCTCTCTCCAAAGGTCTTGTCATTGCTGATTTCCTTTCCAACTGCCACCCAACTCTTCTACCTCCTCTCCAACTCACTTTCCCCTCCTTGTACTTCCTCAAGTCAAGACTCTGGGCTCATCCTTGTTCTTTTTCTTTCTTATGCCATACCAGACCCGTCATCAGGCTTTGCTGTCTCTGTTCAAACTCCAGTGTCCATTTCTCATCGTCTTCACTATCCCCGTCCTGCACCAAGCAGCTATCATTCCACACTATTTTAATGACCTTAGTGGTCTCTTGCCTTCAGTTTTGCTTTACTTCTTTCTGTCTACTCAACTCAGCTTCCACAGGGGATTTCTTTCTTTCCTTTAAAGATTTAAAAAAATTTTATGTTGTATGAGTGCTTTTCCTGCATGTATGTATGTGCACCACGTGTGCAGTGCCAGTGGAGATGAGAGGAGGGTGTCAGAACCCTTCCAACTGAAGTTACAAATAGTTGTTGTTAAGGTTCAGATAGCCCCACCCCCTCACCAACAGGGCCTCACTGACCTTGCAAGCCCCTGAGAAAAGGGATAAGCACCCTGGTCTTTGAAGTCAAGAGAAGCAGACTTTTCTCCACTGTTTGGCCAACACAGCAGGCTTCCCCTTTGATCCCTAAAGGGGGCAGGTTTTAACAGTCTGTCTCTCTTGCTTCCCCCACGTCTAACTTTAAAAAAAATATATCTTCCCGCCTTCCTCACTGCCCCCCCCCCCAGAAGCCTCCTCCTATAAAAAGACCCCAGCTCATGACTGGGGCAGACATTTTCCCTTCCTGGAACAGAATCTGTCCCATGTGTTCCTTTGCTAATAAACTCTATTCTGATGGAGTTTTATCTGTGTCCTGGTGCTTTCTCCCCACCAACCGTATTAATCCATAGGCTACTTTATCTATCAGTTGTGAGCTGTCTTGTGGATGCTGGGAACCGAACCTGGGTCCTCTGCAAGGACAGCAAAAATTCTTAATGGCTTACATTCCTCCAGCCCTTCTTTCTTTTCAAACTAGGTCTGCATCTGTCACTTGCTTAAAACACCTCAATGGTTTCTCTCTCCTCCAAAACTGAAAGTCTATGTACAAAAGGGTCTACAGTGGCCTGACAGCCCTCCTCTCTAGGCTTAGGCACCAGTCTCACCCCTGACCACACTGATCCAGCATCACTGCCTCCTGGTTTACTGGTCCTTCACAATGCCATTCAACCCCTCCCTAAGACCTTTGTACTTTCATTCTCTGCTTCCCTGAGGCCAACATCCTTAAGGTTAGGGTTAGTTCATCTCCCCTGAGGGTTGTGTATTTTCTAAACACTAATACAGAACCTCAGACCCTCTCAGCTTCACTCTGTTCATTTTCCTGGGTTTATTCTATTAATGCTTATCACCAAAATACTCGACATTGACAGATCTTTATCTGTATTGATGGTTTCCACACTGCAATATAGACTCCAAGAAACGACCTTGTTTACTGCTTTATCTTCAGTATCCAGACCAAAGCCTGGCTCATAGTACACACTTCATAAATATTTGCTGAAGGAAAACTTGAGTAATCGGGACTGCTCAGAGGTACACTGCTGCTTCCATTTTAAAAGTAAAGGAGTTTCAAGATCATTAAAGGACTTTTCTCTTCTGGCTGAAATTGAAAAGATGCTTGGCTGGGAAAGGTGGTAGCTACCAGTCTGTGAATCACACTCCTGTGGCACAGCCCATTGTAGAACTGAGTGTTTAATATGAAGCTCTAACTTAATTATCCCTCTATATAGAGATGAAAAGGAAATGTCATTCAACAAAAGGATAACAAGCAGAGGCTACTATTTACTTAGCTGTTTATTTATTGTTCTTTGAGACAGAGTTTCAACACTCTAGTCCAAGTTGGTGTGAAACTCCAGAATGCATTTGCATCATCCTCTGGAGTAGCAGGAATATAGGCATGAGCCACAACACCTGGCCAGTGGTTCCTTTTTAGAGTAGGCCATTCCCATACCCATTATTGAGATGATATAGGTCCTTGTTAGCTGCAGCCTCACAGGTCAGACCCCGGTCCCAGCAGCCTCTAGCCCTCCAGGTACAGCTACAGGAATATGACAGGCCACCTGCTATGATTCTACAGTCACAAAAGACAGAATTTTCTCCTTATCCCTTGTGGCCCAAGAAACAGGCAAACTGACTTCAAGCACCAAGTGTGTGGTATGGGCTTCTATTAATCATGCCTATTGCTTTCTGGTTTTGGACCCCCTCCCTCCAAAACTTAAAAAAAAATCATATATTTTTTATGTGTCTGAGTGGATTGTCTGCATGCATGTAAGTACACCCATGCAATACCTGCAGAGGTCTGAAGAGGTGTTGGATCCCCTGGAACTGGAGTTACAGACTGTTGTTAGCCACCATGTGGGTGCTGGGAACTGAACACATAGGTCCTCTGCTTTAATCAGGAGGCAGAGGCAGGCAGATCTCTGTGAGTTCAAGGCCAGCCTAGTCTACATAGCGAGTTCCAGACCAGCTGGGGCTGCAGGGAGAGCTT